TACCAACTTTAAACATTCAAATGATCATCTCTACCACACTATCATACAGAAAAGCAAACATTGGAAAGTGTTTGTTGAAATTTGTAAAGAACAACTATGGATTCGACTGAACAATAAAAAATAATATTTAAGGCAGAACATTCTTTAAAAGTATTTTCTTCTAATCACATGATCGAAAGTTCACAGGAGCTTGTACGCCTAAAAATAACGTCTCATAATACATTTACTTCGAAAAAACAAACATTATGCTTTTCTTTATGACTTAATTAGTAACAATTGAAAATCTCTGAAGTTTAATCAATACTTTAAGCCATTTTGACAAAAGGACCTGAAAATACACATATTTAATATATTTTTGAATGGTATGAGGGCACAATAAATAATAAGCACAAAAAACTCCTACACTAAATACAACTACAAAGAAAGAGAATACAGAGATAACTAAAGTGTTCTAAATTCATCAAAGCGTGTTGGCATGCAAAAGAACAGAATACTTACACACCTAGGTCTTGCCATAAGCTACAGATACAATCTTCAGAACCCTGCTCATATCGTGCACAAAACATATTTCAAAGGCTTAAATTTTTTTTTTAAAGGAAGAAAAAATATCAAATAGTCATATAAATATATAGCCAAATTTTAAGAATGTTAGATACAATACTAGTCCAAGGTGTATGAGCAAATACACACTTATAACTTTTTATCAGCCAGAAAGTTAATCAAAACATTGAGCTCACATAAAATGTCGCACATGCAACTTTGTAGAAACACTGTTTATCTTTAATATAAAATAAATAATACTTTTATATGTAGAATTGTAAATCTGGTCAATAAGACAGTTAATGGAATGTCAAAGTTTTAAGGGTCTCTTGTCTTGTCAGAAGAAAGCACTTTTTTAATTAACTCCCAACTGAAACAAAACAGCTGTAATAATAAGTCTTATTGAAACAAGCTAAAACACATTACTTAAAAAAAAATAATGATGAGCATGATTTTTTCATTACCAATGTATGTTCTTTTCTCAATTTTAATTGCCCTAAACAGAGTACCCAAGACGAACTATTAATTTTGAGCAAGATTCTGAAATATAAACGAATAAAAAACTAATATAATGTCAAGTCTGAATGCTGATTCATCCCTAGATCTAATTACTGTACCATTAACTTAAATATAATATCTTCCATTTCCAATTATTGATAAGCATGTTGGATCTTAGTATGTTAAAAAATATATTTCAAAGTCTTAGAATACGATTTATGCGCAAACTTTACACATGTTTGTGACCTGATCCCCCTGTCAGCCATATATTTCACAATACCAAACTTCACTTTGTAGTCAGGGACAAAATATTCAGCTGTATCGTATAATTTGGTACCACTGGTGATTGAATGTATGAGGTAATGAGTGTCTGCATGCCTGGCTGCCCAAAAACACACCACAGTCACAGGAATGTCGCGCCATCAGCATTAACAGACAAGCACACATGAAACTGGAACACAAAAACTTTTTAACAAGCACTGTCATAATAATCTCTCACGCATGGCATTATTTCTTCATCATGAGAAAAGCTTGTGGCCATGAATCTTGCTAGCATCAACAACAAAGACAAAAAAACGGCAAAATATTTTCACTAATGATTAAAAAAATAATAATAGTAGCAGCAATAATAATTCCAGTGTCCTTTCTGCATAACTTTGATACAGATGCACAAGCACAACACTTTTCCAAGCTCTAGTCAAACCAGACAAGTTAAAAGGTATTAGTATCATAACAAAAACAGTTACTGAAACCCCCAAAAGAAATAAGTGTAAATAAAAATTAGAAATAACAAAATTATAAATAAAGGCCTACCCCCCCCGAAAAAAAAATTATTTTTTTTTAAAAATGTGAGAGGATGGGTGCTTTACAGAAAAGGTTCAAAACAGCATGTTACTACCAAGACAAAATTTAATAAATTATTGTTTATTTGACATTTATTCTTCTATTTTTAAATTTATACTTAACCAAAGTAAAGTAAACCACACCCATAAACCTTGACTTATTAGGGGAGGGGGGGGGGTTACTTTCCAAGAGTGGTTTGATTGATTTCTTAAAAACTCATAATGAAGGCAAGCTTATTTCATGTTTTGACCCAGTTTTTAAAGATAAAAATATTTCAGAAAAAAAACAACAAATTCTTAAACAGTAAATGCTTTTTAAAAAAAAGGAAAAAACTGCAAATCACGCAGCATACACGGCTGTAACACAGACACACTAACGTACAGTATACACATATGTCTTTTCTTTTTTTTCTTTCTTTTTAAATGTGGGTGTTTTTATACCGATTCAATTTAGATCATTCAGGAGGCGCGCTTCAAACCCTACCTGTCAGGGTCAACCTGGGCTGAGAGGGACACAATATCCCAACCGAAAGATCAAGATACTCAATAAAAATTTCTCCCCATTTGGGAATCAAACTTTGGAGTTCCTGCGCGCAACAGTGAAGCGCCAAATTGCTTCACCACAGATTCCTTTCATGTTTTCTTTGAGAATACAAGATTTCATACATCACTGAATATGAGAACAAATGTGCTGGACAGAGTCTGAAGATTCAAACATGGAGCTGTCAGCTTTTTGCGGCTTCATGTTGCAAGACAAGCCTATTTTTAAAATCAATCATTAACAAAAATGTCACAAAAGCCACTGAAACATTCTAGGTAAGGCCACAGTCAGAAGATTCACCCACAACACCTGATAATTGACACATATTAATCAATACATGTACGCTCACAACATGCAGAAAGTGAAACCCTGCAACATCTCTTTTACAGATACTGCACTGTTGACAAAAGAATTAGGTACAAGTTGGTCACTCTACTATGTCACAAATACTTCAATGACAATGCCCATCATATTAAATTAATTGAAAATCTACAACCTAACTCGCAGGAAAAGGTCACCAGCTGATAAGAAAGAAAATTACCGTAATCTGCTAATAATCATCAGTGAAACTTAAAACAATGGATAAAAGGGCAAATTCTTTTAATGGAATCCTTACTTACTTACTCATTCTCTCCCTATATATAATATTGTCAGGTACATAACGAATGCAGTGCCTGGTAATCAAAGAATTCAAGAGAGATTAAATCTTTTAATTTATTCAAAATTCAGCTCAAGTCATTTTTGTTTTTAAATTAAAGAAATATATCTAGATTTTTAGTTGCAATTCAATGTACAGTTTATGTATTGCTACTTGCATTTTTGTAAAATGTTCAGAGCCTGTGTTCTTTAATCGGGTTGAGAGGTAAATGTCATATACTATTGTTATTATTAACATATCAATTTCAACAATGATATATAATAACACAAACCCTATACTTATCCTTCTATAACTATCACAAGCAAAATTACAAAACAACCCAGTCTATAAAAGTCTTTCTTATTTCCCATTGAGAGACAAAAAGTTTCAATAAATCTCAATAGAATTCAATCTCAATATTAACAGCACAGTGAAAATGTATATTGTTACACAAATGGTTGGGAACAAAAATATAAAATTTAATAAGCACAGTATCCATATTTATTTGATTGTATTCAGACAAAGAACACAGCTTTTATAGATCATAAATAATTATTCTGCAGTGTCTTAAACTTACACTGATATTCCTAGCAACCACATGAGAGATGACGACATAAGAATCCCACAACAGTGACAACCATATACATGTCTGTTACATAAAACTCAGATTAAAACACCCACAAGCTCAAGTATTGGATAACATGTATATACAGTGAAATAAGTCAAGTAAAAAAGAGCCAGAAATAAAGAAATGTCATCTGTGTAAATTTCTTCCTCCTACCTAGCAAATTTGGCGACCTAAACATGGGACAAAGATCACATCACAAATGATGAAGTCAAACAACGGATCAAAAATGAAATTGGACCACAAGCTGACCTCTCAGTCTGGTTAGGAAACGCAAACTGCAATGGTTTGGTCACATCACCCGTTCATCGGGCCTTGCCAAGATGATCCTGCAAAGGCAGCGTCCAGGGAAAAAGGAGTAGAGGCAGACCGAAGAAGAGTTAGGCGGACAACACTAAGGAATGGACAGGCCTGGAACTCAAAGACACGCTCAGGAAAGCTGAAGACCGGAAGGAGAGGAGGAAGCTGGAGGTCAAATCTTCAAAAGCGCCCCGATGGACATCCAGTCTACGGGATAGACGGAGGTTAAGGTGAAACATGGACAATATGGACCAATAGAAAAGGCACATCTGTTTCAAACGATATATCAATCAGGACCATGGATAGCTGCTATTTCAGATTAGTAAAAAAAAAAGAATACAGGTTGCAGCACCAGCAAATCAACCAGAACAAAGCAATGATAAAAATCATGTTACACAAACCAAAACTGCAATGAGATGCAAAAACAAAACTACTTTCACGTCTCGTAAGGAGCACTCCCTGTTATATAGTGTTAATGCAATTATTAGGCATTATGTAAAGGGCATGAAGGCGTTTTTAGAAATGAACTGGCTACTGGTATGACAAGGCTTTAATACTCTTAAGAAGCTGGGCCTCCAAATTTGACCTTTATTTTCAACAGGATTGAGCCAAGTAAATGGTGAACCTCGAAAGATCCCCCAAACATTTATCAGGGATTCGAACCAGGGTCATCTGTACCATAGTCTAACATAATACCAACTAACAGCATGCCCAAAATAGGTTCTTACACAAACTCAGAGTAGGTCTACATATGATTTTTTACACTTATAATGTAACTTGCTTATAATGTAACATAGAAAAATATTAAATGGAAGAAAGATTTGGTGTTCATGCTGCAAATATTACTAGAATTTTGATGAAATTATGCACTGTTATGAAGGTGCTTGGGCCTAGATGAGCTGGTGTTCTATTCGTTTTGGCTGTAGACTTTTGCTTATTTCCTGTGTGCTCACAAACACTATCACAATGAAGGAAAATAGGGATTGGATTAAAGTGTTTTCAGCTGGAAAAAAAAAATTTCTCTTCCTTCAACAAAAATAATATTACATAATATACAGCAAAATACTGAATTGGATAAACCAGTGTTAAATTCATCTGGGTAACTGAGTCACCAGGGAGGCTTGTCATAAAAAAGAACCAGAAGTGTATGTCACTAAAGTAACTTGATGCAGGAAATCAGTAGTCCAGTAAAACCAGCATATCGAAGGGCATAATATATATGCAAATATATAATTCACATTTCCTTTAATCCATTTTTTCCTTCTGATTTTCAAATGTTTCAACACAGCAAAATGTAGAGATAGGAAAATGGTGGTGGATCAAAAGTATTTTAACACTGCAACCATATATATGTGTTATCAAAGAGTTGGTCCCATGGCAAACACTTAACATATCAAGCAAAAAAAAAAAAAAATCACCCCAAAAAGCACAGAACACTGAACTCAACTGAACAGGTACTACTATGACAACAACAAAGTAAAAACTTAAAATAATCTCCAATTTGGATGGATTTAGTATTGTTCCATATTCCTCTCCGCATTGTACTCAGGGGATTTCCCAGTGTCAGCTGAAGACTCCATTCTTGAACCACGCCAAGCTTGGAAGGAAAAGAATGCATTGGCACACAAGCATCCCAATGTAAAGAAGCCAAATGCCTGTGAGGAATGAAGAATATTTAAAGTTAAATAAATTTCCACAGCAAAATTGCAAATCAAATTTTAGCAGAATTCATTCTTGATTTAAATGTTAAATGAAATGAACACATTTTACATAAATCATTATCTTTACACATTCAAGAAGTATGACCTGAAATTTACCCATCCCAGAATTCTTTCCTTTTTGTCAAATAATCATTTATGTTATAATATTTGCCAAATACAAGTGTGAGTTACACCCTGATCTGTACGAGTCATCTGTATATCTTTATCAATAACCCCCCCCCCCCCCCCACCCCCGCGCACTCCATACCAACACCAACAGTAATGAAAACAAAATTAAAAGCTAAACTTAATCCAACCCATAACTTATAGGTCTGTGCCTGGAGAAAGGTCCCAGTTGTCTGAGATTTTGGATATTGAAATAAGGGCACATTCTTGTCGCAAAGTTAATGCTAAACACATTGATTTTTTAAATTTTCAAATATATTGAGTAGTTTTAAAGGGAGATGCCACATTTTGTAACACTGGGTGCAGAAACAAAGTTTGGTGAAAAACCCAGCTTTTAGCACATTTTCAACTTTTGGGGAAGGACAACGAGTTGCAAAAATAAGTAGATCCTGAACATCAAAGAATGAAAGAAAAAAAAGAGCTCAGAAATAGTAATTTTAGACAAAAGCATAGATTTTCTGAAATCATGCCGTTTTGATAATAACCAGATTCTGCTGCATCACAGGTTTACAAAAATATAAAAAGTGACATGTATACACTAACCATTTGGGGAAAAACTACCTCAAAATACCAAATATGAAGGAAGGCTTTGCAGTTTTTGGCTGACATTTACTTACCGCTCCTGCTTTGTTACTGTCCTTGCCACAAGGTTGAGCAGCTAGAACAATGCTAGCAATGGCATAAAAGATGATGTAGACGGCAAGATATATCAAATCCTGCAAATATCAAACATAAGATGCATGGGAAAAGATATTTAACTGAAAAAGTTTATACATTTACAGAGATATAGCAGTCTCCATCTAATTATATCTCATTGCTTATGATCCCCATTCGCTTAAGATCCTGCAGTTTTAAGAAAACAAAATTTTTACTGCATAAAAGTCATCCCTACGATCCTACTCTGAAAGAGGAAAGGCTATATTCAAATAATAAGATTGCGCATTTCAGATCGTATTTGTTGCGACTCAAAATTGGATAAGTGAAAATGGCAGGCTTCATCAACTTAAAAGATGAGATCATCGGGATTGCTCATCAAGATTAAGCATTTTTTGCTGGCCATAAGTTACAAGCCCGCCTAGTGGTTATTTCACTCAATTTCAAAATACATGTAATAAGAGGAGATCATTTTATCAACTGTGGGTCTGACTATGAGTCATCATCAATTCTTCCCCCTTGTGATTTGGGTGAGATCCAGTTTGTCCAAGATCTCTAATTATCCTTGCTCCCAAGAAGGTTGATCTCAGGCAGAAACAATGTAATATAAATATATCACACAGTCTGTCATATTTCATGGACCATCATGAGCGAAATACAACTTACACGTATCATAATAACTCAGTCTATTGCCAAAATGCATTCATCAATATCAGTATTATCACCTTTATGTTCACATTCTCTTTACTTCAATATAATCTTGAACTCCTAAACTGCCCCAAGAAGTTTTGTTAGAACCAAACATCTTTGGATTTCATCGTATGGTTTCACCCTCTTCCATTTTATTTTATTAAATATTAAATCTGGGCCATCAAAGGTTAGCAAGTTGGCTCAGTATCATCAAGACATCACCTTTTTCATTCCCAGTTCCATGCACAATTCAGTGTGGCTTTTCCAGAACTCTTTTCTTGAGGCAAGGAATGGGGAACATATATTACGCTGATGTGCTCACCAGATCACACAATCACATGAACAATTAAATCAGGATAGCGCAGTTTACTAAAGAGGGAGTAAACAAGACACCCCTTCAAACAGGGTGTCTGCCTGTGAAGTCATTTGATTTTGTACAAATAATCAAACATGACAAATAGGGGCAAAAATACTTGGTAGTCATGAGGTTGTGAAATACAGCAACCTTCCAACAGTGTTTAGTGCTTCAGTCCTCATTTAGTCACTTTTCTTTCCAAACTAAGAATACACCTTTGCTTTGTCATAAATGGCCCTTGCCCAAAGTGTCATCTGAAGAATGATCAGAGGTTGAAGCTACTTGTGCTACTAAAGATCAGTCAGAGATATCAGACTGATTTTTAAAAAAAATTTGCGTCGTACTCAGAGGATTGTTGAAATATAGAAGGAAACACCCCAAAATCTGCCACTAAAATTTTACAAAAGAAGATATTATTTCATTAGGAGCTGACACAGCTTGAAAATTCTGAAACGTGACACAAAATCTAGACGCAACCCTTATCCCAGCCTTTGCCAATCAGATTACTTACCACAAGATTCCAGGGCAGAAGTTTGAAGAATAATCTTGAACGCAAAGTCAAAGCATAGAAAATCCACAGAATAAGTAAGGTAAGAAAGGCTGAGATTGAGACAAACTCAAAGTAATTGTAAGTTGAAGAATATTGGTCGTCACAGTGGTCAGATCTTCCAGAGGCACAGCAAATGAAGGCAATAAATGACAGGGCCTGAGGAAGAAATGAAGGACAAGTAATCATTACAACTCTCCCTTCCTCCCCTCTGGGAACCTGATTAAAAAACCCCCAAGGAAAATGGAATTAAAAATAAAAACAACGAAGGCAACCCCTGGCAGTATTGCTGGTCATATAATGTGTGCATATCATATCAACGGTGATACATTTTTTAAACATCTTTTCACAAGTTTCAGAACAGCTTGCTCTGAAACTTTCAGCTTGAAAAAAAAAAAATCTGATGCGAACAGTACGGTCTTTCTCCCCAAACTGAGACAAATCTTTTCAGAAATATTTCAGTATAGCTGGTGAACCTTTGACCAATTTGTTTGTAAGATATTTAAAAAGCTAAATGACCCACATGAGCCAAATATAACCAATCCAAATGAAATTATTTGGACTCTAGATATTGAAAATAAGGAGTAAAAAACCCAAGTATAGATATATATTAAATGACGAATTAACAACACAATGGCATTTCTTTCAAGTGCTGGCCAGCTAAGCAATATCTTTTCCAATTCCCTAGAACACAATTGTTTTTTTCTATACAGTTATGAAAAGGCCGTAGTTAATCCACAAAGAGAACACTGAGTTCAGATGATATGCTATAGTGAAGCTATGAAAATAAAATGCTTCTCAAATAATTGACAGGCAAAAGTAAAAGATTAAAAATAAAGAATAAAAAGATAGCCTACATGTTTGGTGTGAGTGTGTGTATGTGTGTGTGTGTGTGTGTGTGTGTGTGTGTGTGTGTGAGTGTGTGTGTGTGTGTGTGTGTGAGTGTGTGTGTGTGTATTCTTTATCAAGTGATGTTGACATTTAAAAAAAAGAATGCAACCCAAATTGTGTTTTCATAGCTAGCTGCTCTATTTCATAAATATGTATATATATATGGGAACTGATAAGGATGACGGCAGTTCCTTATATTGTGTAATCCTTCAAAGAGTGAGCCAAAGAACGCCAAGAACTAATTCTTACAACTGTGACATCAAACCGTAGAGCGCACTTACACCATGTTTTGCTATAATTCTATAACGTTTCTTTGTGCTCAAATAAGGCATAATATTCCCTTTTACGGAAAGCAACACAAAAGTCTTCTGATAAAAGCTGATTCCTTGGTGTTATTACAGTTCTCATGTTCATTTCTTCATTACTTTTATGGTTTGGTTTTGTTCTGTTTTAAAACGGATGAGGCTCCCACGGAGAGACATCTGTTTGTCTATAATCTAACAAACCGGCATTTACCGCCCACACTTAGGCTTCAATCTTCTGAGTAAAAATTTAATGACCTTCATGCTAAATTGACGCCCGAAGAACAATAGAGAGGTTTGCTTTAAAGAAAAATGTTAAAAATAAAATATGGGTGTGTGTGTGTGCGTGCGCATAGTTTCGGGTGCAAACCAGAACCAAAGGCTTTGGGGTTAATTCTTATGACATGACCCTGCATCGTCACTCTATGATTTTATAGTGTATTTAAACTACGAATCAGCACCAGTTGCAACCGTATGTGAGTGAAGGGAAAAAATGGCCGTGAATTTGCCAGCAAGACAATCAGACATTTTGACCTCGAGAGAGGAGAAACTAATCAATTGAAAACTACATGTACTTTGCGATCGACCCCCTTGGCATATATATTTATATATACATGCCTAAAAATATTGTGTGCAAGTGTGATTGTAGTGTATTTTATTTTTTGCTGGTCCACACCAAACCTCTCCCTTCTCCTCAATCTGTGTTTAGTATGATAAGCAGCATACAAAGTTTGTTACTCTGAGCTCAAAATGAGTGTTCAGGCACATTTCCTTTATTTTGAATGGGTTTTTGGACAAGTAAACGTAGAGAAAAAAAATCCGATTATATGAAAAAAGTAGGTTCTTAGGTGTGCTCACATCATACATATATATACTGTAATCAGCAAATACTCACCGCAGCTACAACTTTCAAGACGCTGTCCAGAGACTTGACGTACCCTTTGTCAACGGGAATCTTCCACAAATATACAATATTCCCATCTTGGGGTTGTGAAGCACTAGCCTCTACGTCTGCCATTATAAATGTGCAAGCTGCTCACGTCCACAGATGATATTGAACCTAGGTGACAGAAGAAATGAAACATTGTTTTGACAAAATAAAATGCACTGTAAATAAAAAGGAAGAGAATATATCCACCCCTAAGCAATTTGACCGGGTTTGACACAAGAAACTATGATCTGTCAATGGCTCTGACAAATTAAAGCAATATCAATTGTCAGGTCATCACTCCCAAGATATTTTGCAATAGTCTTGTTTGTTTGAAGTGATAGTGATTAAAACAAACATAATAATCATTTTGCTCTTTATATCTGTAGCTCGCAAATCAGCTGTAAAATTATCCACACACAGGAATAGCGTGAATAATTTTAACAAAGCCAAGACATTAAAAAACGCTTTATCCACCAATAAAGGCCATCTTCACAGTAAGAAAATAATAATAGGAATAGGCCTATGTTACGTCAAGTAACTTGAACTTCAACACAAAATCCGAACCAGGGCTAAAAATAAAATGTTTAGGCCTATAATAATATCGCACAGCCTATACATTTTATCATTATAAATATATATGTATGAAGTTTAACTGACGGGGGGGGGGGGGGGGGGGGGGAGAAATTAAAATTTTCAGGAAATTAGATAATTGATTTGCAACAGTTTTAGTGGCTATATATTAGGCATGTGTGATCTGCAGCAAATGTAATACTGTAGTTTGACCCCTGAAGCAGTGCATCTGTGTGCAGGAGTGAAAATAAAAATTTGGCTGGCTCTATTTCTTCAAACGGTTTCCGTTTTAGAGATTTGTTGATAATTTGTAAATGGAGTGGCTTTTGGAGTTTTCATGAAAGATTTTAGTTTTTGCTTTAGTCACACCGACTAAACTAAATGCAAAATAGGTTACTGCCAAGGTCGAGCTCTTGTTTTCTCACAACACCTTTTGAACACATTTTCAAATGAATTATAGTCCGGGAACGTTGCCTCAACCACAACTGAAGTATCTGAATATTCAGACATTTAAAAATCTCTTGTTGTTTGTGGCACGGACAACAAGAAGAGTTCCAACCATCATATATAGAGATCAAACAGAACCACCAATACTTCCCAGTGAAAACCCAGGATCAGATGACATCACAGCAGAAGCCATTATAAGAGCTTGTGGAAATACCAGTATACTGTGGATGAAGAGAATTTTCAACAGAGCCTGGGAGCAAAGAAACTGCCCAGAAGACTGGCAGAAAGCCATAGTGGTACCATTATGGGAAAAAAAAGGCAACAAACGCGACTGCACAACATACAGAGGCATCTCCTTGTTAAGCCACTCAGGGAAAATATACGCAAAGATACTAGAGCAGTGCATCTATTGTAGAGAGAAATCTGAGCAAAGCTCAGTTTGGATTCCGAAAGGGAAGAAAATGCACAGATGCTGTATTTGCATTACGACAGATATGCGAGAAAACAATCGAACACAACAAAGAATCCAACATCATCTTTATAGACCAGGAGAAGGCTTTTGACAGAGTAAACCATGCAAAACTCTGGAAGACACTCGAAAAGTATGGCGTCAGAGGACAAATGTTAGATAATGTCAGAGCTCTATATTCCAACAGCAGAAGCTCAGTAAGAACGAAGGAAGACAATACAGACTGGTTCAAAGTAAGATCTGGGGTACAACAGGGATATCTCCCCTCCTGTTTATAATGGACACAATAACGCAAGACGCAAACCAAAGCCAAGAAAGCCTAAATGAATTTCTGTTCGCAGACGACCAATGTCTTATTCATCATGACAAAATCACACTACCGAATTCAACAACAGCTGTGAGAAATTCAACATGAAAATAAGCATATATATCAAAAACAGAAGTGAAAGTGAGCCGAAACTATAGTCCCCTCAACATCCATGTCAATAGTAAAAAACTGATACAGGCGAAAGAGTTTAAATATGTTGGCAGCACTTTTTCTGAAAACAGGTCCACAGACAGAGAAATAGAAATGCGAACTAAAAAAGCCAAGGCTGTCACCTACCAGCTCGCACCCCTCCTATCTCATCCAAACATCTCCATGGACACAATGAAACAGTATATCTCCTCAATATTCATACCAACATTACGTTGTCAGTGCCAGACCTGAACTTTTTTAAGCAAAACCCATGAAAGCAAAATCACAGCATGCGAAATGAAATGTCTTTGCAAAACCCTTAACATCACAGGACGAGACAGGCAGAGAAATGAAGAAGTAAGAGCAGCTATTGGCACTGAGTCCTGCTTGCGTTACATAGAAAGACAGAGGATAAAATGGTTTGGCCTCCTGTTACGCATGTCACCTGACCAGCCAGCCTCGAGAGCCTACAACATCAAGCACTCAGGCTATACGAAGAGGAAGGCCACGCAAAAGGTGGATCGAGGGTGTCAAGGAAATTCTAAGAAAACATAACATCACAACTGACAGTGCTGCAGAGCTCTCCCCTCGACGCTTAACGGCAAAAGAGGATGAAAAAGTAAAAGGAAAGTGTAAAAATTTCTAGCTTTAAAAATTGACTTCGATACAAAAAATGCTTCTTCCCAGTCCTCGCAGCAAGGCATAAAAATGAAAGACGACGCCTAAATCTCACTAATAACCCAAAAAATCTCGAGAACGGAAACTGTATGAGAAGTAGAGATCAAGTTTATTTTACCGAGCGTTCGGAGAAATAGTCACTTCGTAAAATTTTACCTAAAAGCGGTCCTACTAATTGCCGTCTGGAGCCGTCCGTAGACTTATTGATTATTTTGCCTTACAATTAAAAAAAACTATTTTTGTTTGTTAACAAAACTTCCCTAAAATCATAAAACTGGACAGAATTGACCTTTTGCCGATTTTGAACTGGAAGTTGGAAGAAGGAGACCAACAATCTCTGATAGTCTATTTTTCTTTTCCCAGTTCAGAAATTGTAAACTTTGTTTTCGTGCTCTCTCCCAACCTGCCATCCCCCCTCCATTTCTCACCCCATCCAGGTGTAAAAAGGGTAGATTCTAGATCTACAAACTACAGACAGCAAAGGCGAAGGTTTTGTGAATGCAGGTGGTTCGCACGCAACAGGCTGCTGCACCTGTAAGAGATGACTGCCTCCGAACGGCACTAGACGGCAATTAAAAAGGGCGGCACTATTTCTCTGAACGTTCGGGAAAATAAAGCTAAGCACTATTTCTCCGAACGTTCGGGAAAATAAAGCTGGGCACTATTTCTCCGAACACTCTGAAATCACATCCTTTCCCGCAAATTTCGGATATTATAAAGAGTATAGGCCTACCAAAGATTGTTCGTATACAATATGGTTCAATCGGTCCAAAAAATGTCCGCAGTAAATATTTATATATTAAGAGATGCTACAGTTCCAAACAGTTTTTCGCTACAGATATGATGTGTTGCCTATGAAGGGTGCTGCTCTTAAACTTAATGTGTTGTGTTCACTCGTGTGCTGTCTAGATCTAGATCTCTACGGAGGGTTATTGATAACGACACATAGAACTAGCTTCTGCGTTTGTCGCGGCCGCGACCAATCAATCGTGGCTCGATTTTTGGGCAGGTCAGGGAATAAAAGTCAAATTTAAAAAAAAAAGAAAAAAAAAAAAAAGAAAGAAACCGAACCTCTTTACTTTTGAAAGAAAGTTCACTTAGCTTCACTTAGTCTCTTTCTCACACTTGTTGTCACCACGTTGATTTGTTGAATACGTTACAGTTACTTTTATTTTTCCCTCTTTGACTCTTAGAGGTGTTTTATTTTGTTCTAAGTGTGTAATTTTTTTTCTTGTTATTTTTCTGATGTGTTGTTTTTCTATTAATTTTGTTGTTGTTGGGGAAAGGGGGGGGGGGGGTGTTGCATAGTATAACGTCATTTAATTTGATGTTCCTACCTTCATTAGATTCTAAATATATATATATATACATTTATATATATATAAATTTAAATGTTTTATGTTAGAGCGTACGTTCCACCAAAACCGATTACATACTTTACTGACACTGGCAGGCCCCTTAATGTGTGTGATTCCATAATTTACATGTTAATATCCTGTACTTTAAAAAAAATTTACGCACTTTTAGGGTTAAAACAGGCAATCTTCTTCGGACAGGTTGACACACACACTTATTTGTTAATTTTTGTGGTTATTTATGGGCTGTTCGACTAATTTTGATTTAATTCTGTTGTGAAACCTTTCTTTTTCACGTTTTTACACTCAACATCTAAAAATTTCTAGACTAGCTCTTGAAAATTAAAATAGATATAGACCCAAAAATTTGCTCCTGTGTGTGTGTGTGTGTGTGTCTATGTATATGCATGTGTGAGTGTGCCTGTGTGTGGTAGTAAGTGTGTAAGTGGAGAGTGAGGAGTGTGTGTGTGCTTTTAGGGCTTTATTTCAGCCTTTATATATTCAGTAACAGTTCAAAGTATTTAAAAATAGAAACACAGGATCCATTCACTCCAGGGCTCATGAGTCGTTCCTCTCTTTCAGTTTAACTCATTCATTCAATTCCTGTGTTCTCTCCCGCGGCTCATCCCCGTCTTCATGACTTTCACACCACACCCCTCCCTCCAGGCACACACAAAGAAAATCTCACTCTTTCCCTTGCACCCTGTGAACCATGGACAATAATATAGGCAAAACACTGCCTTAGCCACATTCCTTTCGTTCGTGAGCTGTGGACCAGGCCTGGGGGGTCGGTGTCGTCGTCTTGTAGTTGCTGTCGCCTGTGGATACATTCGTAAATTCTTCCTTTCACTTTCACCCGCTCTGTCACTCACACTGTCTCTCCATCCACAACTCAGCTCGTCATACGTTCAAAAGTTGCCCACTGATCATGTCTAGTTAGTGTGTGTATAAGTTTGTGTGTGTACATGTGCATGACGGTGGTGGGTGTGCGGTGGGTGTTACTGAAGGTTGTATGTAGGTGGGCTTGCCATGCGGTGTTCCTTCCCAGACCAGAGGCAGAATGAAAGTTGGCGCCGAACTCTCGCAATAAATAGGCAAAAAATCACGAGACCGGAAGCCGGAAACTGTTCGGAGAAATAAAGATCGGCACTATTTCTCCGAACGTTCGGAGAAATAGTCAATTCGAATAAAAAATCTAGCAGGACCCCCTAAAGGCCTTTCCCCCCTAAAAGGCATTCTGGTTCTGGTGAATAGGCTTGGTTACAGCAGGCGCAGGCTACATGTTAGAGTCTAGATCTAGATCTAGTTCAGAATCTCGAACTCAATAACAATAACAATCATGATCTAGATCTAGATCTAGAGATATCTATATATAGATCTAATTAGAAATATTAAATTATATGCAGTCTGTTGAGTAAAAACGCACACACTTGACACCGATTTGAAAATGATCAACACAAAGTTGAAATCCTGGTGATGATGACTAGGCTCAGTCAAGACTTTGGCCTGAGATAGGCCCTAGATCTAGATCTTTTTCGGTAGTTCCCACCCCGCATTTGTTATTTGCCGGTTTTGGCCCCAAGAGTAGGGGGGTTTCAGGGGGAATAAAAACAAGGTGGGGGGTTTCAGGGTGGCATGCCCCCCTGAATTTTACCACAATTTAATGTTTTGCAGTTGTTAGGTTTGACATCTTAGCTTGCCGCGAATCAAACGTATATAGATCTAGATGTAGGTCAGGCTCTATCAAATAAGGGGGGTGGGAACTACCGAAAAAGCGCCGAATCTAGATCTAGACCTAGAATCTAGTCTAGATTAGACAGAATCTAAAAATATGAGCATGAGTCGAGTGTGACTGGAATTTTCTCCGGCGAAGTAATTACTCCTTACTAACCTAAACTACAAAAGATTCTAGATTCTAGATCTAGTCTAGATTTACAGACTGTTAGCCTATACTGTACCTCAAATTTTAAAAATCCACAGGACATAGACCTTAATTCTGATGGATTTCCCTCTATGTACGAACTGGTGATTCACTAAATGTAGCCTTTCTGTTCGAATTGGTCAGTTTCACACATCCAAAACGCTTGTAGAAACGCGATAAAGACGAAAGCGGAAGTAACTGGTCCTGAGGTCCAATGTTGTGGCCCCCGCCCCTTTCAAGTTGCTGTCAGCCATTATCACCTTTGAACTGACAAGCCTTTGACCTTTTGTAGCATTGTTTTATGTGGATGAGGGATTAGCCTTGGGCTAATGAATAATTAAATTGTGACTCTTGTACGGTGCTGGATAACAGAAGCTCCTGAAGTTCATGTACAAGTATTATTACTAGAGCTAAAATCTAGATCTAGATCTAGATTCTAGATTCTAATTCGGTTTTAGATCTGTATGAGCTTGCATTTTAAAGAAATTGTGTAAAGTATAGACATAGACTAGATTCTAGATCTAGATTCTAATCAACCTCACTTCACACCTGAAAATGTTTCGAAGAATATCAGATGCTTTTTTACCTCTACAAAGAGCTGTTGGCGCTGCCAGGGCTGTGTATCATGGACAAGCTGCAGCGATTGTTCCACCTGCTGCATCACTCAATGTAAGAGCATGAGTATAAAAACATGAGAACTTAATCTAGTTACAAGCATACGTGTGTTAAAATATAAAAACAGAACAGTTTCACTCCCCCACTAAAATTAAAATGCACTCGGGAAGATTGAAGAATACCAGACCACTCGTACATTATTGCGCGAGAACGTGGGGTAGGTGCGGCAGGTGGTTGGGGTGGAGGAGGGGGGGTTCAGGGGGGTCGCCCCCCTGACAAAATTTTAATGAATAGATCTACCGGTCCGAGATTCTCCATTGAGAGATATTAAAAACAGGAAAATCATGAATTCCTAAGGTTGAGGACATAGGCAAAGTCAGTCCGCTGGTCCGGTATTCTTCAATCTTACCATGCACTCGACTTTTGGGGGTCAAACGGGCATAATAATAAATATTTCAATTTTAGGCTGCAGATCACACATGGCCACAATATGTGACAATATCATCTGTGAATATCTCGCTGGCTGGGTGCAAGAACTCCGCAAGCACCAATTTTGCAATTTTTCAGGAGAGCCAAAAAACTGATTCATTTTTATACCCTTTCATTTAGGAAAACGAAACTTAGATATTATGATATATAATATATATCGTTCGCATTTGTTTTCTGCATATGATCATGCTGTATTTACTAACAACGAGCCGTAAGCCGTAATTAAAGGCATCTCCCCGCGACGCTTAACAGCAATAGAAGATGAGAAATTTTATTTTTTTAAAGTTTGGAGAGGGGAGAATTATACCCTCTCCCCTGATTTTTTATTTTTTCCCCTTGAGTGGAGAAGGCAAGCGGGACATACCCCCCCCCCCCCCCCAAAAAAAAAATTAAAAAAATTAAATTAAATAAATAAAAATACAAAAATGTAAAATTGGGCCTAAAGGGCAAAAATAGCTCCTTGCAAATAGGCTATTATAATGCAGTAAAACATTTGTGGGGCAACTTATTGTCAAATTTTTCCTTAAGAAGAACCATCGAAATATATACAGTATGATATCATCCAGCTTTTGCACAAAGTAACCTCAGTTTGCCTTACAGAGATCAATTGATATTTTTGTAAACACAGCTGTTTGCTGTATTCTCGAAAATTAATTTTAATAAAAATACTAATAAAAAATTCCAAGTAAGTGGTTTCTACTGATTTTAAAAAGGGTTTACAGCTGGAGCAATATATCATATCGCTTGTAAAAATATGTCCATCTTGTTTTTCTAATCTTAACACTATCTTTATTGAACACGTTTTGAGAACCTTTAGAAATTAGACGGTATAAAAAATGTGTTCATTATAAAATCAATTTCTTGTAGTTCGAGTTTTACCATGAAAAAGTGCCATTGCTGAGCTGTGATGTAGGTGAGGCATCGTGATGAAATCAGGCACTCGACAAAATGATTAAATCTGAGAAATCTGCTTTTTTCAGCCAGTTTGGAAATTTTTTTCGAATTTTTGTTTTTTGGCTCAACGCCTTGTATGTCCATTCAAAAACACTTTTATGTGTGGATTTTATGAAAAAAGTTGATTAAAAGCACAACAAATTTAAATTTGCAGTTTCCATGGACTCTTGGAAGTCACAAAACTTTGGTGCCATATTGTCTCGCTAATTTTACCTCTGAAACCAGGGGACCCCACCCCACCTCCTCCAATCACAATATCTCGACTCTATTCAAGATAAATGGAAATTTTTTTTCAAAGTAAGCATGACAAATAAACAACAATATTTAAGATTATACCAATAACTCCATATGCCCAAAAATTGACAGAGTGCCTGATTCCATTGTGTCGTGACACATGTATACAAAATGTGTGCGAGAGGTTGGAAGCGCTGTAAACAATTAATCCCATTTTCTGCGTGACGAAGATTTGTGGTATTTTATATAAATTTATGAAGAAAATTTTTAAAATCTAGTCTCTATTGTTGTGGAAAAATATTTATTGAAAAGACAATTGATACAAACTGCTGAACAAAGTATGGAAGACATTGATTTGCCCATTAAAGATCTCTTTTTGAGGAAAAGTTGTGCCACGAATTTTTGACAGCACTAGATTAGAAGTGTATGTAGTTAGACAAAAAAACTTTAAATTTTTCAAAAACTTGTAAATTGGGATGGATACAAAATTAATTTTCTTGTGTAAAACAGATACAAATGAACAAGAATCAAAGTAATATCCTCTTCTTGGCGATTATATCTTATTCCATCTGCTGGTTTTGGCGTGAGGGTCAACTTAGCTGGGAGATATTTCCATCCAAAATTGCAAAGTGTAACATCAACTGAGCAACAATGGGTTGCCTCTTGAAGTACCAGCTGTGTAAGGGGCGTTAGATGAACATGAAATGTAGAAGTCAGTTTTCCTAGGAAAAAAAAGAACAATGGAAAAGTGGGCGACTTGTTTATCTGCAAAGTTTGGTCATGCAAAATACTTCCCAAAATACACATGTAAATGTTTTTTAATTATAATATATTATATTTGAGAGTCTTAGATTGATATATCATCTATATATGTATATATATCATCTATCTTCATCTATATATATATATATATATATATAAGCTAAGACTTTTTTCTGTGATAAAATATTGAATTGTAAATCTTTCTTCATTTCAGGGACAGAAATGTTTCAGTTCTTCCAATGAAAGCCCAACTCCAAATCCAATCTATGAGCTTAGAGTATATCGCACCCAAATGGTTGATTTCAAGCCTGTTGTTGCTGCATTTGAACAGTTCATCCACTTGCGGACAAATCATTCAGAACTGATGGGCTTCTGGACAGCAGAGATTGGAGAGTCTATACATGAACTTGTTCATATCTGGAAATACGGTATGCAGCTGTCAGTTTTTGTGTCAATTTTTGATGGAGCATTTTATGGTTATTTTGAAATTTAAAATAATATAATTGGGTGTTACTGTTCAGATGTGTGTTTTTTGCATGTTCTCAGTTGTTTTTAATTCATTTTTAGTTTTAACACGGTCACCATGTTCTTGGGATGGTATTTATGACAGTATAGCAGTCTAGACTTCTTCTCATTGTTGGGGATGGGAAAGGTTTAGGTTGTGATGCAAATAGGGGATTTGGAAGTTGGGGCTATCTTTGAAAATGAATATCCTTTTAGAATATATAATTTTATATATATGATTTATTCTTCTATTATTCTCAGCCTGTTCTCAAGAGGTGGTGAGGTTGTGCATGAGGATATCAATATGTATTATTTCTTTTACTCATACTCTACATTTTTATCAGAATAATCTTCATCTATCTGTATGAAAGTGTTCATACCACTCATAATTGAAAATCGGAATGAGTTCTTTACCTGTGCAGACAACTCAAGTGGACAATTTTTTAATCACTTAAGATCTGTTTTGACCAGTTGTTCCTCCATTTGTTTATAATTTTTTTGCTCATATACATTTCACTGCTCTTTTTTCAAATTATTGACATATTTCAAAATTGAAAATAGTGGTGATTAGGATTACTCGAGTGATATACAATGGAAAACACCCCCCCCCCCCCCCCCCCAACAAAAAATAAAATAAAAAAATAATCAGTTTTTCTTTTATTTTGTCTCCGGACTGATGACAACAACTACTGTGATTCCTTTTTCCATTGGATACCCAACAGACAGCCTCAGTCACCGCTTAAAAGTTCGACAAGCCCTGGCTGCCGACAAAGAATGGCATGCATCCTTCATTCCTAAGCTCATTCCACACGTGCAGTATATGACCAATGCCTTGATGGCCCCTGTACCAGGCACTGCTGTCAATGAGGATGTTGAGAAAGATGCTAGTGGTGGGTAGTTTGTTATTGTCAGTAGTACTTTTCAGCCATACTTTTTGTGTCTTAATTCTCATTACAAATTATATTATTAGTAATTACTGGAAAATTCAGGAGGATGAGTAGAAAAACTAATGATTTGGAATTTTCTTTATTTTCAGTGCAACATTGAAATTGAAAATTAGTTTTGACTCTTAGATGCCAAGCAGGGAAGATCAGTTATGCATGTCTGATAGGTAGCAGTAACCTGTTTTGTTTCCTTCCTGTTGGGAACCGCCAAACAGCACCAAGTACTATTTTCTTTATTTAAATGACATTTCTGTTCCAGCTTGTATGAAATTTAAAGTAATCTTTCACCTCAATAGGTGTCTTCGCTGCTGTAACAACATCGTCTGTAGATTACTATTACAGAGGTACCCTAAATCACTTTTAAACTGAGAGAGTTCTCCAACCAGTGAATTGTTCTTAAAGATTTTGGTCAACTAATTATAACTTTCCTGAAACTTTTTATTGATGTTATTTTTTCTGCAACTGTTTTGCATTTAAACTAGAATTTTGACTTTTAGACATAATTTACACCTAAGTAAGTAAAAGGGTATGACCAAAGCATTGTAAGTTGACACGGTACTCTTGTGGCAAATGATCTTACAGTTATGGTGAAAGAGAAGCAGCTAAATGACCAGTTACAGAAAATGCCCTTTGAAAAAAAACCCAGTGGGAATGTATCACAAAGACACTGCATAAGTTCATCACAGCATGTTGTTTGTTCAGTTCTATTGCAGGAAAAGGCTCACTATATACCAAAATGTGATAGTTTATGTAACAAAAACTGTCATTTATATCTCAGATAATCGTAGTTTTCAGTCCCCCTTGTCAGTTTCTGATTTGCAGGTCAATGTTTCTTGTACATCTTGATCAGTACATTTCTTAATTTTGTATCCAATGTACAGTGGGGCGCAAATATTTTGAACACGTCGGGGATTGACAAATATGTACAACACATCCATGATTTGAGTAAACCGGGCTAGTGTAAAATAACAGAAATATTGAGCATGCCACCCACCCTCTTGTGTAATCTCTTACAGTGGAGTCCACTTATAACGAGTCCTGAAATAAGGAGAAGTCTATTATAAAGACACTATTTTAAAACCCCGTTTTTTTTTCTTCTTTATCTTTGTAAATAAAATACTGCTATTGCGCAATCAGACAATCACGTGGGTCGGTTATAACAGACCAATTACACGTATATTATTAAACCTCGCCAGTTGAGAAAGTTGTTGGTGATCCAGCGAAACAAAGAATGGGAGAGCCCATGTGAACCAATAATGAAGTCTGGAGTGAATGAGTGGGGAGGGTGTGGCATGCGCAGACAAGCAGAACGCATCGCGTGATATCCAGCCCAGTCTAGATTATCTAGGTATACCGTGCCTCTCACTTCTCCGGTGCGGGATGGAGAGGTCACAATGCTGTGGTAAATGGATGGAGTGAATGTGTGACGTGCGCAAGCAGACGCAACGCACCACAAGGTGTGGTGGTGTGGGGGGCAACACAGCGGGTGAGTTAGCCTAAAGCCAGAGCCCCTTCTTTCGGATCGCCAACGCCGAGCTGTCAACGTTGCTAGTGCTAGAGAAAAAAAACCTGATTCGATTTTTGATCAAGTAAGACCTAGAGATAATGTTGAACAAAATCATCATCAGGGGAAATACAAAAAGGAATAAACAGACCACCAAACTCATAGTTTAGGCCTACTGTACTATTTCCCTTGAATTTATTACTGGATCCCTTATAACGAGAATCCTGCTATAATGGACATTTTCACCGGACCCCTCCCTCTCGTTATAACAGGATTCCACTGTACTAATCTATACCTACACAGTCAAACAACTACATACACACTTGCACACAAACACAATTCACACCCCATATGGCCCAGTGTCTGTCTTCGACCACGCGCCACCATCCAACACCTATCCTCTCATGACTATATCAAAAAAAGTTCAAGCGCCTTATGCACGCTGCAGGTAATGTGCAATGAGGTATCTCAATATCTGGAGTGTATATGTGTCATGCTGCTGGACACATTTAACCTGATACTCCCGATTATGATAAGGGTGTGCTTATTTTCCATTGTGTGCACAGGGCGATTTGCACTGGAGACAACTGTGAGGAAAAATTTAATCAGGTTTTTCAATACGAGCTGTTTGACACAGTCATTTAGGTGTGGAAAAATGCGGTGCTGCTAATACAAAGAAAAATACAGTGGTTCAGTTAGGGAATGACATATTGTTCGAGTTATCCATGAATGTAAGTTTTGCATGTTTGGGTTTTCTGTGCTCAACTGTACTTGTGTTCTTTCTTACAACATTTCCACTCTGTACTGACCCAAACTTTCTACATTTTTCCAATGACTTCTCTTTAATTTGTCTGCATGGATGGATCAAACAGCGGTTTACACCTTGCAGCGTGTACTTCAAAACAGCCCAGCACCTGGCAGCCTTGGCTCTGGTGAAGTGTTGATTGGACGCTTTTTGGGAGTCTTGGGTGCTAACAACACTGGTAAGCCTTTTGATGCTTTCGGTTGCTCTTCTGTCACAGATAAAGATTTAATATTTATTCCTTCCATGGCAGGATTGAATAGAAGCAAAGCAGAAGTATCACCTGCATAACATCGAAAAGGGTACTAGTTTTGGAGTGCACATGTAGATGTCTATGCCTCCCATGTTAGCTGCTTTCAGAGGAGGGTTTATGATGTGGATCTTTTCTCATCTAATAATTTTTGCCTCTTCATGGTACCTCAATTAGTATTAGTGTTTGTGGTAAAATGGTTAAGTGCTTTGTCTTGCTCGCAGATGGTATGAATTTGATTCCTTCATAAGGAAGGTTATTTAATTGAATGTCTCAAATTTCCTGCTGGGTAACTGCCTCGTGCACAGCTCAGGCCGATCCTGGTAGGCAAGTCCGAAGTAGTTCTGCCGTCTAGATCTTAATTGTGTTGATGGAAGCAAAAGTAAGCTTTCAATCATTGGCCATTGAAGTTGAATCCTTTCCTTCTTGTGGTATGGATGTAGTTATTTATTTATCCCACAACATACAGCCAAATTTTTGTTCACCAGATGGTTGCTTTAAGAGTAACTTGTGCAGATTCTGCCAGCATCTTTGCTTTCAACACTTTGTATGAGATTAGCTGTATGAAATGAAAATATGATAACATCCTTTAAAGGACTAAGTCCGTTACACATTTTTCACCATCAGCCTGCATTTTCTAATATAAAGAGCTCACTTCTCTTTCACTATCCATGTTTTCAGAATATCGACTTTGGAGGTATGGAAATATTGATGCTGCTCTGGATGCCTCATGGAAGAAGACTGTTGGTGAGTTGAAAAGTTTCTAATTATAGCAAGTCAAACAAAACATTGAAAGGGTACACCAGTACTTGAGATTATAACTGTTAAAAACAGATTGATTTGTTTTTTTTCCACCTGCAATCTATTGATGTGAGTTTTTGAATAGGTGCCATGGTGTGTTTTAACAGACTCTGAAAGGGCCCAACTCAATGTTATATTTAATACTTTGATAAAGATTATATTACCATTCAAGCCTTGCTTCTGTTTCCTTGTTTGTAAGTAGGAAGAAGACAAAAGTCAATACTTTAGATTACAAGGCCTTTGTATAAATTGCTTGGGCCAATTATTGTCTCTGGGTTTTTTTTCTCACAAGTTTGTTCTGGGCTCTCTGTCTAATGCATACTGCTTAAAGATCGTCTGTCAAGACGCAAAAGGCCATAATGTCTGAGACATTGAGCAAAAATACTCAAAAGATTTTTTGGAAGAAAAGTTCAAATAGTATTCTGTAGTAGTTGTTAATCTTCACTGTTAGAAGGTGAAGCAATTTGATAAATTTTTCTTTTGACAAATGTGCAATGATTATATTTTAGTCTGTTTCCTTTTATTGATGGAAATCTCATATGACTGCATAATAATTGTCTTGTCTGGACAGTTTTCTTCATTTTCCATTTTCCATTCTAAGCCTAAGTATGTTATACAATGTGTCTGGGCTGACAGATCCTCACTGTTGTCTGATGAGTGCATTTTTTTGTCTTTCAGATAATGACGGAAGTATTGCGAATACTCTTCTCTATCCTACCTCGTTTTCCCCTCTTCAGTAGAGCAACTGCAAGGCTGTGATGATTCTGTATCATCTACTGATGTGAAACTGAGACTGGGCTGTTACATATGAACTGTGTCTGCAGGATTGTATTGTACTTAGGTCATTCTTAGTTTTAAAGTAGTGTTCTGTCTATTTAAAAAAAATTACTGTTCTGATTTAACAAAATTATAACCTGTCTGATTCTGAGAACTAAAAAGTAAAATGTATCATGCGCTTTTGTTTTTGTAGTACCATTTCATTTTTATCATGACTGATGAGATGTATTTGGTAAGATTTATTAAATGACAAGGCAGTATATTTTTTGTTTGTCATAGTATATATATATATATATATATATATATATATATAATATATATATGATAGTTCTGCTTGTTTGTTATGTATTGTGAAGAGTGGCTAATGAAGAATTGTGCAGAAGAAGGGAAGAAATATTTTAAGTTATAATTTACTTTTAGTGACTTGAGCCCAAATGACTTGGAAATTCGACTTTATGAAGAGAATTGAGCAGTTTTTATTTGTTTTGTTAATTTTTTTTTCTCTTTCTTAAAAATTTTACTCAGCCCAATTTACATTTTAATAATGTTTATATGTGATATGAATTTTGCTTTCTATTATACTGTTACCCATACTGTTGTTGCTCAAAGTGCCTTTCTGATCTTGTTTGTTTCATAATTGGTCTCTAGTCAGAATGTACCTTTGTTTTACTGGATATTCGGAAGTAACCTGATGGACTGCTCAGGCGAAAAGTACAAGTGTAGGGTTTGATACCCTTATCGACAATATCAAGTTACTATTCAGGTGATACAAATCAAAGAAATATAAATCTGGTGAGATACAGCGGTGTGGTGTCAGTCGAGTCAGTTTCCTGATGTTCAAGCTTTTATTTTTTAGAATTGCTTTAAAAGGTTGCAGGCAGGCATAAGGTACTACAAACCTAGAGTCAATAATTTCAGTTTTCAAGAGCAATAGTAATGTGCTGTAGATTTTGGATACTATTGTGCACTCTCGTTTCAAAGACCCTACCTCTAGCTTTAGACCATATTGCGAAAACAAATTAGAAAATGATGTTGACTAGGCTACACTCCACACCTCCTCTCTGTGTATTGGGAAACTTCAGGACTTGATGTGACCCTGAGACGTTTTGACTCTTGGCCTGTCCCCGTGGTTTTATGCAAAGAAAGTTCTGAAATTATGCAAACTGAGCCAAAAAATGGGAAATTATACGATTCTGTTAATTTTAACAAAGAATGATAAAGGAAAATAATCAAAAATTATGCAAAAAATGATCAAATTTTGCTAAATTATGCGGGGTGCATAAAACCCCGGGGACAGCTCTTGGCTGAGGGAATGAAGCAGCGACATCGCATTGACCTGTGTCAGCTATTTCTCCCACATTTGCCAGAGAAGGACCTTTAATTAGACGGCTGGTTCTGAGATCTTGTCAAACAGTTGAATAGAAGTTCCCTTTTTTTTTTCGCCTTTAAAAAAGTTTATACTGACATATATTTATAAGTAAGTAAAGTCAGCCTGTATCTTTATGGAAGGAGGTAATAGTTGTGGTTGTCTGTACCGGCTCTGTATGATAACATGTTGTTTTTTTTTTCCAACTGATAGAATGTGGACGAAATAAGCAAAGACACCACAGGCTATTATAAAGTGCAGGATTCAATGAAGGTAAAATAGGACGTGCTCCTTATCACCTTTAAATTATGGTGGATGCAACTTAGGATAAGGAAGTAATTGGACCTTTGAGGGGAGGGGAGGGGAATGTTGCTTGTTAATGTTTATTCGGTGCTCAATTAAAGTTGAAAGCAAAATATTAGTTGCATCTCGGTTGTGTTTTGGTTGTTTTGTATGTGTACTCACTTCATAAGATACGTCAAGGTATCAACCTGCCGAAATTGCACGCCTCTTTTTCATTGACTTCTTTCTATGAAATGATAAACTGATTTTTTATTTCTTCAGCTGCTGTCTCTTTTCTACCCTCTCGTGGTTTTCCTGCAAATGTTGGATACCATTTCTCTCCACGTTTCTTGTTCTTTTACACGTTCATAGCTTTATTTTGTCGTTGTCTTGCTCGTTTCTTATGTTAAAGACCCATCTTTTTCTTTTCTGGCTTTGATCTTTTTCTTTTTGTATTGTCTTTTCTTTTGATGGATATTATTTTATTGTATGTTAGTAGTTAAGGTAGTTGCATTTCTTTCTTCAAACTTGTCTTTTTTAGAATTTGTTCTTCTCATGCATCATGGACCGCTGGTGGTTGTGAGTGCACTAATGTGTTGGCTGCCTCTCTAACTTCTCATCTTTACTCTCATCTAAATCTTTTCTTGGAGAAATGTGGCTTATGTTTTGCTGGTTTGCTGTAAGGTATGACTCGCAACGAAGATTGTGCATTATGCCATGTCTCTCTTTCTGTCTCTTCTTCACTCACATTCCTTTGCCTTTATATTTATATATTTCTTCTCAGAATTGAATTTATTGTATACTTTACTGGTATTCATAAAGTTGGACTGAGTTTTTCGCTTTTGTTAGTCTGTTGATAGTGGTTTATGGGCCCTATGTTAGGTTTTGAAAAGGATCTCTATCTCATGGCTATTTTTCTCTTTTTCCCCTCATCTAATTCTAACTGATTCGTTGACTTCTGGTATCGAAACTTCCTTCTTATTCTGTGAAAGCTATCACCAATGGGAATGCTTTCTTTCTGTTCATGTTTTACTTTTTTGATAACCATTTTTTCTTCTATTCCTATGTGTTTTGAGTCCCAGTGGTATTGTTTGTCTTAACTGTAGAGACAGGCGGGAAGCACTTTTTTCTTCCAGAGCGAGCAGGCCGGGAAGCTGACCTATTTCTCACCTGTCCTGGCCAACTCGTGACCAAATTCTCTTCTCTCTTGATGCCGGCCAGTAGTTTAGTGGCCGGGCAGTGACGGGAATGGCCGTTCTTGGCTCGTCTCGTGCCCGCTCCTACTTAACAGTATTATTAGTTATATAATGTTTGTTTCTTTACCTGACATTTTTGTCTCTCTATATATAGTAGAGGGTTTTACGGCGCTCGCAACGGCATAAGGTCATATGAACGCCAAGGGGTGGGTGTCAACAGAGAAGTCTTTACAGGGAATCAGACTTAGACTGCTCACCTCTCTAGCTTCAACATCACAAGGTCTGCTTCGACTGTCAAGGCACCCCAAAATAGCAGGTCACAAGAGAGTGACAAACATACAAAAGAAGTAGAGGAAAATGACAATAGTAAGGATCAGGAAAGAAAAAGCAGCAGTTCCCTGTTGTAGTTCAGGCACAGTTATGAGCGTGACATGAGTCAGCCCATTTACAATTCTACTATGCTTGAACGAGATATGTCCCCCCTTTGGGAATGGCCTAAAGACACTTCTTCAGTCAGTGGCACTGCCCCGGGGGGGTATTTTTGTAGGATTTTTCTCTGGGATGGTTGGGGGACGGAGAAGGGGAGGGGGGTGAGGCTGTCACTTTCTTTGTGTCTGCCTGTTGTTTTTGTTAGTCTAACTTTTTCTTGCATGTAGTGGTTGTTATTGAATCGGTACACTTCTTTTTTCAGGCTTTACTCAAATTCATTATCCAGATGTTTACCGAGGTCTCTGGTGTTTCAGTTAAACGCTTCGCTGCTGCATGACCTTAGTTTGAATCTCGCTGAGTGGGGTAAAAATATACATTGAGTATCTCAATCTTTCTGCTGGGATGTTGTATTTCTCTCAGCTCGGATTGGCTAAATGATCTAAATTGTGTCGTGTTTTTTGGGGGGGGAATAAAAAATCACCTGCTACATATCGTATCCCGTTGGTTTTCCTGGGATTCTAGAAATGCTCATTCCTCGCGTATGGCATCCAAGGTTGTTCGTTTCCTTCTGTACATTTTTTTTATTTGCTGCCGCTCATTTTACTATAGAACGCAAACAAAAATTAGACACACATACTTACTTATGCTTTTAAAAATGTTTACTATGCGTTTTTGATGGATTGTTCAAGCTTTTGATTACTGACTTATTTACTGGTCTACATGCCATGGGGGTTTCAGGATCATGAGGCTTTTTGCCTTTACAAGTTGTCTTCCTGTGGAGAAGAATTACATCTTAGTTATTGTTCAATTTCCAAATGTACTTTGTGATGAAAAGGAAACTTTTATCTGATATCATCATAGATATCTAACTATATTTATTCCAGAATGAACCATGAATGATTTGAATAAACTTGATTAATAAAGTAGTAGGTCTACTCAAAAGTTTTTTTTCTTCTTTTGCTCAATGATGGGTTTCTTTTGGGTCAGTTTGCACATGCCCCCCTTGCCCCATTCCCATGCTCTCTCTCTCTCTCTCTCTCTCTCTCTCTCTCTCTCTCTCTCTCTCTCTCTCTCTCTCTCTCTCTCTCTCTCTCTCTCTTTCTCTCTCTCTCTCTCTCTCTCTCTATCTCTCTCTTTCTCTCTCTCCGTCACACACACACACACGCGCGCGCACACACACACACACACACACACACACACACACACACACACACACACACACACACACACACACACACACACACACACACACACACACGCCATCCCAAGTTTTTTTCTCTTCACGTTCTGTCCTGAAAATATGCTGAATTTCTTTTTACTTTGATGTCTTGCACAGGGTCCACTCAGTGGCTCGCATTTGAGATAATGATATAAAGTAAAAGGTGGCCTTTTTCTTTCTTTGTTGTTGTTGTAAGCACGGTGCACGGCTTCCCGCCCCACAAGAGACCCGGGCACAAGCCTTTGTGTCTTCGTTTGCGCTGTTGGCAGGCCCACCTGTCCTTCTTTGGCCGACCTTTTTGTGGCAGTTCAGGGTTGTTGGTCCAGGGTCAGGGCTCTTGGATCGATGTATACTATACCCATTCTTTGTCGTGATCTTGGAAGCTGCTCTGGATCTAAAAAAAAAAATGAAATGGTGAAATGGTATAGGTTTAACGTCCCTATCAAATCAACACTATTAGATTAAGAGGCGGGACCTCCTAGTTTTACGTCCGTCTCCGAAAGGACCGAGCTTAGTGGGACATTCGTGGAAAGGGCCTTTCCTAAGGACACAGCGTTGGACCGAGCTGAGGCTCGAACCCCTGAACCCGCAATCTCACGATTACGAGTCCGGTAGCCTAACCACTATGCCACCGACGCCACCACTCGTTCTCAGGCGAGTACAATGTAATAAAACCATGTGGCGACCAGTCTACCACTTCCTTTACGAACATGTAGGAAGACCTCTCTCGTCTCCTGTTTCTCTTCTTTTGTCTCTTCTCTTACTA